TTTTTCCGCTCCGATGAGGAGACCATTCATCTGTAGGACATCCAGTGTTGCTAAGGATAGGTCGTGAAAAAATTGTCACTGGAGCCACAATAAGCCAGGCTGCAAAATACAGACTTTTTCGAAATCGGGAGTGCAGAGTTTAGCGTTTGGTTGTGAACCAGGCCACGACCCGATTCAAGTTTAATCCCTCAGTGATACATATCTCCAAGATAAAGGTCAAAGGTCACAATGGGACTTTATTGGCTCGGTCGTAACAGAAGATGAAGGGATAAGGTTTTTACTGTCTTTCTCCGCTTTGTCTAAGGACGGAGAATTACTCAGCTCGAAATCACCTGTGCACACCATTTGTAAGACAGGAAGTGCCAAAGGAATAGCAGATATTTGATGTCGTTCCTGTCTTCAAAATAGATGTTATATCTGAATATCAGCCAATTATCAGAGTGCCCGTTTGATCATGATCGCTTCCAAGTTGCCCACAGATATGATCCCACGCAGGAATACCAGCACCTTTGTGAGGAGAGCCGTGAAAACCAAGCAGAGTTCCGTTCGGGTCGTGGCTGCATTTACCATATCTCTACCTCACGACAACTGCTGGAGCATCGTCACACAGAAAAACAATAATTGTTGTTCTCATGTCTGAACGTAATGTCCGGCTCGGTCGCGCTGCTTTGTGGGGATGTCTATCTTTCAATGGTGTGCCACGCATTTTCTTCACAGTCCTCCAACCATCATACTATATACCTGCGGGCGCGTTAAGGTCTGCTGGGAATACTCTCCCAACATGACCAAAAGTGGTGCCCTTCAGGCTTACTGTTTGTCACCTTTTCTCCATAACCTAATAGTGGATTAATTAAGTGAGAAACTTTTGTTGTCTTTCACCCTAATTTTGGACCTTCTTTCCTGGGAAGCCCTTAAATTCATTGAATATTTGGCCAATGTTGCGCTACTTCTTTCAGTTTCCATTCAGATAAGAAACACACCAAATAACCTAAGTGATGTTACCATGCGTTTCGAATTGCGTCTCTCACCCTCAAAGTACGAAGTGCTATTATACGACTGGGCGAGCGCGCCACTAAAACAGGCTATGGTGTCAGAACCAAGTTACTGTCTGATTTCGTTTCCCCATCCTGCTGCATTCGGGGATTAAGGCGACCCGGTCGATGGCATGATTTCTTCTTCCAGGATGGGGACCGCGTGATCCTCGCTGTGCCTGGTTGGAGACACTACAAGATATGGCTGGCACCCGATGTCAGTGGCGTTCTTGTTGTCAGTTTCTGTCCAGATTGCCTGAGTGAATTTCTGGAGGTGTAGGCACCTCGGAATGATTGTGTTAAGCTAGCACTAAGTCCCTCCCCCATCCACCTTTATTCTTTTCTTTACAATAAGGCTTTCAAATAAGTCATGGCTGTACGGCAGTGAAGCATTGGTGTTGAGCACTGATGTCATGCTGTCGTTGATGATGGTGATGACTATGTCGAGCATTCTGAGGAGGCTACAACTCCAGCTCAATCAGACAATGTGGAAAGAAACTGACAGCACGACTGCCACTGGTATCAACTAGTCGCCATTCTTTGCAACGTCTCCACCCAAGCATAGACGGGGTCACGGGGACCCCATCCTGGAAGGCGTACAAAACCAACAGCATCCAAACTCCTCGTGATCTCTTTCAAACCTTTCTGCCAAGTCATTTGCCGTCCACCTCGCGGTTTCGCCATCCTGAAGGAGGAACGGAGAACAAATCTCGTCTTGGTAGACGGTGTTTCGGCATGCGTGTCACATGACCGAGCCATCCTATTCGGTGGTGCTGGATATTTCCCCCGATCGAAGTACCTGCCGCACAATCACCTAGTTACTAACACGCTGACGCCATCCAAAACCAGCCGCGCTTCTGAAGCATCGGTGATCAAAACCTGAAGCCACCTCACATCATCTGTCGGCAAAGGCCATGTCTCGCACCCATACAACATAGCCCTTACTGTAGCCTGGCACACGCGACCCTTAAGATCTAGTGATATACCTTTTGACGCCACAAGTGACGCGAATTAACAAACTTGACTCGAGCCTTTGAGATTCTTGTACTGGCTTCATTAGACACATCTCCATCAGAGCCGATGCAACTACCGAGGTGTGTAAAGTTTCCCAATCTCCAGTGATTCTCCTTGAATTGTAAGGGATGCGTCCGCAGATGGCACGTTCTGAAGCATGACTATGCACTCTGAAGGTGCAAGGCGCACACCAAAAGATGGTACGGTGGTGGTCAGTTTGTTTGTGCTTCGCTTTGGCGACCCGGTTGGTTGCACCACGCGACGGCCAATGAGTATTGTTAGCTGTAAATGTCATGGTTGTACGAAAGCGGGGATACTATCAGGACGCCCACACCTAGACAGGAGAACGATTATGGTCCTCAACCAAAGCCTCTGGCTCAGAAACCCAACCGGAGGGCAGCGGTGTTGGGCTGGAAATGCAAGTACATTACCATTTTTGCGGAACACACCACATATGTTCCAACCCCCAACCTGGAGAGCCAGGAGACTGTGTTCGTCAGACCTCTACCCATTCATCAACCTGGTATGAGACTCTGTGAGTGTCGCGCAGACACCCCAGTATAGCTCAATGGGTCGCCGAGGTAGGCACACACACACAATATGTTAGGATCCAGTCTCTTCGTGAAGGGGCGAACCCCATAATTTCTACTGTTCATTTTATAGCAGGCAAAAAGACCAGTAATAAAACAGTAGAACGATCCGCTGCTTCGGCACACAAAACACTTGTGGATAGATGTTCGCTCATTGAATCTCAAATGACCCCAACACCTACCCTAGACAGACACAAAAGCATACAGGGATATGGACGAAACTTGGTTGCAACGATTACGCTGACTCTCCTTCCCCTTTTACCTGGTCATCGACTGTGAAACTCTTCCCTCTAAATTCATCCTATGTTACTCAAACAATGTCCAAAACTTCATCTGAGAGAGCCATATCTCATAATTGAAATGGATGAAAAAACCCTAGGACAAACAAGCCTCCAATTCAGCAAGATCATGCGAGTCGATATAGGATCACACACGGGTATTTCCAATCCGACCTTCAGGGTCTTACGATAGCACAGTGGTCAGACAGGATCGGTGAATATCAAAATGTGAAAGACGAATGCATAGAAAACCCAAACAGACAAGTCTTACCGGTGATTTCCGTTTTCTTTGGTTTCATTAACTGACCCATCATAGAAACGATATCTTGACCACCTTGAGGCCGGGCGTTAGCAACATCAAGGTCATGAAGGGTAACATCCTGAACGACTTCTTTCTTTTTGTGCACTTCACCTTTCGGGAGAGGTACATATTCATCAGCCTCCAAATCGTACTCCGCTGTATATACATCACACCTCCCCTGACGTTTAACAGCACCCGAGTTAGCCTCAATGTAGATGACATCGCCAACCTCAACGTGCTCCTTCTGTAGGCTTTCATATATACAAGGATCTAGCTTCAACTGTTTCACTCCTTTGGCCGTCCGAAGACTAATTATGACATGACTGATTGTTTTTCCAAGTCCTTAAGCTAATTAAAATTAAAAGGGACCAAACCTCCAGTAGGGCTCTCTGTCTCAACAGGAGTTAGTTCGGTCACTTCGCCTTCATATACTTCTTTTATCTCTTTTATTCTCAACCCTGAAGATAGAGACCAAATATGCGCAAGACAAACCGATTGCCCTCCGAAAGTTCTCCATCAGCACCTCCGTTTTCTTAATTTCTGACGAATAAACCTCGCTACCGACCATTGGGCAGAATGGAACTTTGTTCCCTAAATCTTGTGCAATGGCCATGGCAATCGCGGTCTGGTAACATAAACTGGAAAATGAATAACAGTAATACCTTTCCCGTCCCGGGTGGACCAGCCATCAGAACTGCCCTTCCCGCCATTTTTTTCGACCTGATCATCTCCACAACAATACCGGCGGCCTGAAGCGTGAAACAAAAAGCAAAGATGTACCTCACGAGCGCATTCTTGGCCCACCAATCCTGCAGCGCTGGGCAACGGAATGCCATTTTCATCAAGACCGAGCCCTTTAATATGGGTGTGGGCAGCCACACGTTGTGCCTTCGAAGTACTTCGAACCTCTTCGATGCGCATGGCGTGTTGACTGCAACAATGCGTGACCTTGACACCTCCACACTTTGTATGAGCCGCTCTGTGATAAGGTAGCTATGGTTTCGGTGAGAAAGTTCCAGCGGGCGCGCAGACGAGTGGGAAACGACTCGTGTGTGCCTGGATAATAGTACATGGGATAGAAAGCCGACGGCGCGTATGGTGTGCTCGATGTGTAATGTGCCTGCGTTAAGCCTCCTGTGGTTGGTGAAAGGGAAGGGAAATATGGACCTAGTTAACTATTTCGCCGGATACAGATGAATTCGGGCAGACGGTACTTAGGATTAAAGATACAGTGATGAATGACTGGCATCTAACCAGTGTCTTTTGTTCTATGTGGATAAAAAAATACGGTGTTATTGCCAGTGGAGCTACCCTTCAACTTTGTTGGAGTACTTGAATTATATAGTATGTCCAATCAGGGGAGGCAGGAGGACTGATTAGCAGTTAACCGCGAGGTACAGCGGATACAGTGGATTCGAAAAACATTGATAGAATAAAATCGCTGTGAACGAGAATGAATTTCTCCGCGACTTTCAGAACAAGTATTTGATAGGGTCCCACACGTCCCGCTGCTACACAAACTCGAGTCTTACGGGATTCAAGGGAAAATCCTTCGCTGGATCAAGGCGTTCCTACCAGACAGATCATTCCGAGTGAGAATAGGCTCGACCTACCCTTCCCCAGCGCCGGTCGCCATTGGAGTTCCTCAAGGCGCCGTATAGGGACCACTCCTGTTTCTGATCTACGTCAACGACCTCCCAGACGTTCTTGCGAGTCCATGTCTACTTTCTGCGGACGACTTGAAATCCTGGAGTTCCAATGCCAGTGCCCTCCAAATGGGATTAAGACGCCGCTAAGCAGTGGTTGTTGGGCTGGCACCTTCCTCTGAATGACGGAAAGTGCGTCCATATGTCGTTTGGAGGAGACTCAGCGAATGCCTTTGTTATGCACGATGAGAAAGGACCAGAAAAGATTATGAGGATAGATGCCAAAAGGGTTTTGGGCATCTGGGTCTCCTCAAACTTGTCCTTCCCACTGCGCCATGAGAAATCGGCCCAAAGGGCATTCGCCATTTTACGGACGATCCGACGCACCTTCTCCCGTATTACTCACATGGACTTCCAAATGCCCTATGGGGCCTACGTCGGACCGCTCCTGGAGTACGCCAACCAAGTTGTCTACTGAGGACGCACGAAAGACGTCACCCTCATTGAGCGTGTTCAGTGGGCCGCTACGAGAATGGCTGCTGGCCTCAAATCCGTGGAATACTAAACGCGTCTCGCGATGCTTGATCTCTTTCCTCTGGAGTACCGTCGCCTCCGACGGGACCTAATTCTTACTTATGCCCTGTCTGAACAAAGCTTGGCAAACGGGTTTTTACCATTGACCCAGCAAACAAACGGCGGGGACATAGTAAGAAAATTTTCAAGCTCAGGGCACATACATTCATTAGACAAATTTTTTCTCATTTCGGGCAGTAGCTGCGTGGAATGACCTTCCTCCGACGGTTGTCCACGCTCCTTCTAGAACCCGGTTTAAAGCACTATTAGACATTTATTTATGCGAATCCTCGCGCTGGCAAGCATACTGCCCCGCGCCGAGAACATAAAGAGCAGTGCTACACCCTTTTTTCACTTGTGCCTTTCAGGCGAACGACAGCCACTGACCGACAAGAACACACCCGACCCGGAACTTTGGGCAAAGGCTTCGATCCTGTGTATCAATGCGTGAATCCGTGAAAAAAAGAACCTAATTGTGATGCTGCGTGCCTGTGAATGGTGAGGTAGCACGCAGAATCATATTCGATCCTGTGTTCGGAAGGGACGGTGAGCGGGATAAGGTCACCTTGCAAGAAGTGCTACTTAAGGGAACAGGATGATATATGTAGAACCCTCCGATCAATGCCGATTGCGGAAGTATCTTGAGGACCATATAGGCTACCGTTGGATGCATCCACGTTCTCAGATAGGCTAGACTACAGTGGGCTCTGAGAAGCCTGGTAAAACAAAAAAGCGCCACAGAAGAACTTGGTTTTTTCGTCCACACGAATATAGTGCTTAAGGTCTTGTTTAACGAATCCCTGGAAAATTGTGTAGTGAAGCTCCTAACCACGGTGAAGCCCGTGGTCTAGGCAAAATTCTTATATAAAATGGACGCATCCATCAGAGAAGATCAATGAGTTTCACGAGCGCCTTAGGGCCGCAGTTTGGAGCACTCCGGAAAGTCTAATTAATATCTTGTCAGAAGAAAGTACGCATTCTTTTGGCCTCCAAGAGTCGGACGCCCCTATGATCAAAAGCAAGTGTAATGATCCTATGGACCATTGAAGCCGAGGATCTCCTGCTTAAATTAAACATTCTTTTTTGCTATGTATCTATGGGTTTGAAGTGTTGGGAGAATTCGATGGATGTTTTTCACTTCCATGTTTTTACGCAACAATACACAACTGTATTTGTTACCAAAAGTTTTAAGTACCATCGTTGAAAGGGAGGAGCACGTGCTATGATTATCTGAAAGATTCCACCTAAGAAACATCCAGAAGCTAAATCTGGACCCTTCTGCAACAAGTCAGGTTATTCAATACCGCATATATATATGTATATATACTGTACCAGCTTTTCTCCAATCATTATGCGACCAGTTGGGGTTGTGCCTAGTTGGGGGTTAGATCCGTTTAGAAGCGGTCGTGGATAATACGAAGCAGCGGGACCTATAGATACTCCACTAGTCTTCAGTATCGAGTTTGAGCAGAGGCCATCCGTCCGTGCATGTATACCATGAAAATCCGGGGGGTCAGAATTCCAGGGATAATGTTTCACGGGCACCCCGATGCGTTCAAAGGCTTTATTACTGAAATGCTCTATGAAATACCAAGGTGAGACATAGAGAAGGCATCAAGATATCTCTCAACATTAGCTGACTCCTCGTAGGCTCTGCCAACTGCAGAAGGGTTTGAAAGGCAAGACAATGGTTTACATTCTTTGTGAATTCGAAGATGTCTGTATCAAGTGCGCATTTGTGTGGTTCACTGGGATTCTGGTGTGTGATCAACTTGGCAATAGCTTTCACACGTTTCAACCATAAGACAATCGTCTTTAGATTTTCGAGCGGTAGTTGAAAAATAGTCGGAAATGCAAATAACGAGGGAAACTGTGTAGTTATTTAACCACTGATGAATTCAAGGTTGCATGCCATTAGGAGCAAAATGCACGATTGAATCCCTCTCGGGTGGATTCATGATGCTACCTTTATTCAGTTTACGGAACCCCGAAACCGATTTGTCGTGTCTGGGTCTTTGGATCAGCTCCCTCGGTGCCGTTACCTCATCGTCGTAGACCAGTGACTATGGAGTGTCGAGTCCCTTCATCGTGCAGTAGCATGCTGGAACCCATTTAATTAATAACTGTTATAGGGATGCTATTTTCTCCTTCCCAGTCCAAATAACTGAGTTGAGTGAAAGGCACACCGTTATGAAGATTTTTAATTTTGCTTTCACGTAAGCAACTTCAGATGCAGCATTTTTGAAAGGTAGGAGAGAGTTCTGTGCGCATAATGTCTCATCGGTGGTACTCGGACACTGCAACAGCCGAGGTGACTACCACGAGAGTAAGCACTAAGGCGATTGTGCAATGGCTTTGGCTGTTCGACTATTCGACTGGTTGACTAGACGAGATTATGAATCAAGCAGTCAGTCTTTCTCTGCTATCCGGTGGACGCCGTCTGTCAGTGATGCATATAGCAGGCTTTCGCGCTTTTAGGATTTGGTCTTTGCATATGCTTCAAGTATGGCGCACTGCGTAAACTTTTTTATGCTTTGAACACGAAGCAAATACACTCATTTGTAAACCAATGCGATTTTCCCAGGAAACTTGAGTGAATCTCTCGTTTACGTTCTTCACTGCAGCACATTCAGTTCAAGAACATTAAAAACGGGTGATTCACCTGGGTCAACCATGAAGACCGAATTCATTTACAAATGAGCGTTTTTGTCCCCATCAGTTCCATTTGTGTTTAAGTAAGACATAAGGCTGAAGGAAACTCGAGAACTGTGCCTACCTGATGAGCCCCAAGAAAAGAGAAACGGGTCGTGGGATGTCGAGGATTTTCCAGCAACCTTGTGAGCAGTTCTTTTTATGAAGACATTCAGTAAAACTTTGGCGTTCGACTTACGGAGGACGCCAGCCTGTAAAGTTTGGTGTATGCGTTACTCATGTTTTCAAAGCAAACTAAAAAATTATCGCATCAGAGGCAGAGGCGTAATGAAAAAACCCGCCAAAACTTGTCGATCCATTAGTCCAAAGAAAGGGATTGTAGCTAACAAGGGCCAACGCAAACCAACCTTTTCTGACTTGATCATCAAAGGTTCGAACCGTGAATTTCTCGTATCATCTGTTGGGTTGCAATGCACTCCGAGTTTAAAACGAGCTTTCACACGCCTGATAATAGACGTTTCAGCGGAGACCCCACTCGTCAGGCCATGAACGGTATCTGCACTTTAATCCCGTCGAGCCGCTCCATGACCGAGCACCGCTTCTCGACATCTTTCGCCGGCGACGATGAATATTTCGGTTTTCGGACGCTCTGGGTGATAATGAAGTGTCCGGAACCGGTGTGAGTCAGAAACTGTTGAAAATTCTCACTTTCATCTTTAGTTTTTGGTCCTTCTGTGATACAGACCTCAGTACTTGGATTCTGGATTGGATAGAAAAGGATGCCAGTAGCACGCCACGGAGCTATATCACTGAACAACAGCGTAACATTAGCTTAGAGGGTGATGAAACTATGCCCTGCTGCGACGCGCCACTTCTAACAGTTGTGCACATGCCTTCCGACCAAATCTCTATCCAAGACCTGGCCACACTGGAACTTATCACCCTGGGTACTTTCGTTGCGATAAGTAGTATTCTACTTGTGGATGGTGGCTTATAATTATAATAATATTGTTTGTTCCCAGCGTGTCGGCGGCATATCGTCAGACATCATCGATGCTGCAAGTACGGTCTTTTTTACAGGGGTTTATGTGATTATCGGAAATCGTCGCCACCACATACCATAGAGTGAGGCGTACTTCGGTGACAATGGCTATCATTACTGACCCTCCTCTTCAAGAGAGGCATTTGAAGCTGCTTTTAAGCGACATTTCAGTTCTCGTTTCAGAGGGGTTTGGTAAACAATCGGTGGATTTATTTCAGTTCGTTTTTTGCCAGTTAAACGTTATATAATCACGCATTTTCGCGAACGAACGCGGGTTAAAGCCATAGCTCATAGTAACCGGTTTGTTATACTTTCAGTGAAAATTCATCCAAATGACACTGCGACGATGAAGCAAAGACAAGTGTGGCGGCTTTGGAACCCCTGAACCTATGTTCATAACAGAGGGTCGCTCAGTATTCGCATGATGGAATTGGATTGTAGAAAGTTATGACGTGTCCCTGATGGACCAAAGCGGTCGGCAATTGAGTTAAGAGTACATGTCCAGACTTTTAGGCCTTATTTGGGCATCCCGGGGTCTCAGCGATGTTGGGAAATTATCTCTCAAAACTTTTCATCCGGAAGCGTGGTTGCTTCAGTGAACAATGAAATTTGGTGAGCTGCAAAAATAGGAACGTAGATTACGACGGTTTTCGGTTTCAGTACATACGCAATGCGATGCAACATGTCGGCGTAGAAAGGTTTACTCTATTTGTAAAGGTTTTGTGGCTGAGAATGCGTATAATGGGCACATAACCGACGCAGCCAATGACCTGACCGGTGTTTGCCGGAATTGATCGGAGCTAATTATTAGCTCATGTCCCTCTCTCCTGTTCCATCCACATTCGAACGGCCATGGAGAACGGCACCTTGGGACTTTAGAAGGTGCAATTCATAGATCTAAAGACAGGGGCAACAGAATGGAATTTTATGGAGAGTTCAGCCGACACCTAAGCGAAACCCAACCAGGCTTTGCTAAACTGAGTGGCATTGCTAACAGGGAAAACCTTGAGAATCACAGGCCATTATGCAGCCAAACAGAAGACAGCTGGAACGTCATAACAAGTGAATGGGAAATAGATCATCTCGAACCACAACCAGTGTTAGCAAATGTTACAGCTTCCGTCCTTGGTCACATCGGATGACGTCCCAGGTAGATCCTAGGGCGCGTAGCTCACAGAGCATCAGTCTTGGAAGCCTCCAATACGTTCGCCGGCGGGTCCTTTTCAGGTGTGCGTCGGGCAGCCTCCTTCCGCGGGCACGAGCACAGATCTGGTTGATCCGTTCATACTTTGTGGTTGCGTGGTGGTTAGTGGTAATATTCTCGGTGAACTAGTTCACTCTGGTTTTCGTGTGTGCAGCCGGAGTAAGAACCGATTGTCCCTTAATAGGCACCCGTGTCTTTGAGAGTACTAGCATAGAAGTTTTTCTTCCTTCCCCGTCTCTAATACTAGCATAGAAGTTTTTCTTCCTTCAACTTAGACCTCGGATTTTGTTTGTATTTCGTTGTGAAGCAAGAGAATTCTATTAGTTTGGATACTTGGTTTTGTGACTAGGAATTTAGCCATGTACGCGTGTTTAGGTAGATATCATTTCGTACTTTTCCACTTAAAAATCTGGTGATGGAACCACCAAGAAGGCCATTGTTCCGTATTCCACAGTGAACTGTATGTAGTTCTACTTCACCCGCCTTTTTGAGAATTCCCTGCCAAGTACCAAGGGGTGTCTCAAGCATTATCTCAAATATGCACCATAACCACACCCAGCAATCACTTGTGACCGGTGAAAGCTTAATTGACGAATAATAACGGCGATTGCTTGTGTTGCTCCACATGGTTTTCCACGGAAATTTGTAGAAATTTGTGAGAATTAAGTTTCGTACATATATCGGTATAACCAGACGAACTAGGAATC